CAGATGGCCCAGGGAGTTCGGTCACGGGCGGAGTCACGGAAATGCATCAATTGGCTGGAGTTGCGAGCAGTCCGCTTGGCACTCAAGGAATTCAAGCCCTATTTCGTGAACTGCCATGTGCTCCTCATGACAGACAACATTACAGTAAAAGCCCGTATCAACAGACAGGGGGGTACACGATCCCAGACTCTCATAAAGGAGGCAGAGAGGCTTTGTTGCTAGGTGGAGCACAATTTGAAGTCCATCAAAGCGGAACATTTGGCAGGACAGGACAACACATGGGCAGATTGGCTGAGCAGCGCAACCTTAGATCAGTCAGAATGGCGCCTGAATCCGGCATTATTCCAGGAGATTGTGAGATGCTTCAATCAGTTGACCATCGATCTCTTCGCTTCACAGATGAATGCCCAGCTACCCCGTTTTTTCGCTCAATTCCCATGTCAGGGGGCAGAGGGAGTAGATGCTCTTCATTGTCCTTGGCCCAGGGGCCTATTATATGCCTTCCCTCCTCTGGCACGCCTTCCGAAGGTTATTAGTCGGACTCTACAGTTCAGAGCAGAACTCATCCTGGTGGCTCCACATTGGCCAAGACGTCCGTGGTTGGTGGACCTGGTGAGCCTGTCGGTCGCACCACCCTGGAAGATTCCACCCAACAAGATCTCCCTATCTCAGGGGCCCATTTGTCATCCAGACCCTCAATGGCTTCACTTAACCATGTGGAGGTTGAACGGCGATTGCTGGAAGGGCGGAATTTTTCTTCTAGCATGATAGAGACAATGCAGGCTGCCAGACGCCCGTCCACGACATGCATTTATAACTCCACCTGGTGAACATTCAGTTTATGGTGCTCTGGGTGGAGGATTCAGGCGACCAAGGTCACAGTGCAGCAGCTTCTGGAATTCCTGCAAGCATGTTTAGAGAAGGGGTTAGCGCCAGCAACACTTCGTAGGCAGGTTGCTGCTATAGTATCGGTATTATTGTGTAGGAGGAGAATTTCAGTGGCACAATATCTAGACTAAAGGAGATTTCTCAGGGGGGCTATTAACTTGAGGCCGGAGGTAGTACACCGTTATCCTACCTGGAATCTCCAGAAAGTGTTACAGGCATTGTCTACAGCACCCTTTGAGCTGCTTAGGCAGGTTCACCTCAGTTTCTTAACATATAAGACTCTTTTTCCCGTGGCCATTACATCGGCTAGATACATTTCAGAGCTAGCTGCTCTTTCTGTGAGGGAAGACTTATGTATCTTTCATTCGGATAGAGTTGTTTTACGTTTAGATCCGGCTTTCATGACCAAAATTAATTCTTGGTTCCATCGGCCACAAGAATTAGTACTTCCAGATTTTTGCTCGAATCTATCTCATCCTAGAGAAAATCTCCGGCATAAGCTTGACATCAGGCGGGCATTAAGGATCTACATTAAGAGGACACGATCACTTTGAAGGTCAGAGGCTCTATTTGTGGCCTTCTTGCTGTCAACTATGGGGCTGAAGCTTGCCAGTTCAGCGGTGGACAGATTGATTAGAGCGATCATTGCCAGGGCTTATGAAGCTCAGTTGCTCCTTCAATCCAGGGGAGTGACCGCTCATTCGAGTCGCAGTGTGGCTTCTAGCGTGGCCTGGGCTACTAGAGCATCAGTTGAAGAAATCTACAGAGCGGCGAGGTGGTCAACACCTTCGCCGTTCATCCAACATTATAGGATTGATGCTTATGCCTCAGCAGAAGCAGCATTTCTCGGAGAGTTCTGCAGCATGTGTTAGAGATGCCCGGAGTGGATGACCAGACATCTTCCCACCCTTGAAGACTGTCTGCTTTGGTAAGTCCCATGCCTGGAGTTTCAAGTTCCTAGCTGGAAAATGGGTGTTGGTCCTACCTGATACACCCTTTTTCAGCAGGAACGAGAGATTCCAGCCCCACCCTAACATGGGGGTCTGGTCTTGAGGGTGTCCTGGGGGTGTCATTGCAGGTGCAGTATCCTGGAACCTCGACAGACATCGTTGAATCTGGGGCCATGTGCAAAGGAGGGCGGGCGTCTCTTTAAGATTGAACTCAGTCCATAAAGGCAGAAGACAGAGTGATACTCATGCCTGGAGTCTCTCGTTCCTGCTGAAAAAGGGTGTTTCAGGTAGGACCAACACTCATTTCATGCTTGTTGTCTTTCTTGGTTTCTATAGGACATGGAAACATGCTGTGATGCTGCTCCTTCCTTCTCTTTTTGCACAGTGGGATCAATCATGGCTAGGCATTCTACAAAATCCTCTATGCCTGGCTGGTTCATTTCTTTTAAAAGGTCTGGTGGCTGCTTACTCTGATTACTGCCTCTCCCATCCAGCTGATTACTGCCTCTCCCACATAGCCAAGATGATGGCTATGTTTTTGGCACAAAACTCTGTGGATCACAGCTGACTCATGCTCTGGCCAATTCTGTATAAAGGGTATTGGTGGTGAAGGATTAGGGACTGCTTGCTGAGCCAGGTATATATAGAAACCAATTCTCTTCAATCTACATCTTCAATATTATAGTTTAAGAAGCAGCTTTGTCCCCTATCTCCCTTTATAACCAGTGCATTTTAGAAAGAAAAAGAATATGTAGTCATATGACTACAGAACTTATTATTATCCCTAGAATTAAATTTCTGTTCAACAGTCATTCGGGACCCTCAACCAGTTCTTCTTAAATTGTGGGTGATCAGAATAAACTTTATTACTTAGAAGCCAAGCAAGATTACTTTATTACTTTTTAACTAAATGCACAAGAATTAGTAAAACTTCCTTGGCAAAAACAAGCACTTAATATTCATGACTTCAAAATGTATGCTTTCTTCTTCACACTATATGCTTCTATATTTATATTCTGAACATTACCCACAAACACATGTGCTTTCTCAATGAAAAACAAATTCTATGCCACTAGGTATGGTGCAGAAAATGTTATCAAAATCTCAATTTTCTATAATTACATGCTGAATATTTTATATAGGGTGCAACCTAATATTTCTGTAAAGCCTAGGAGGCATATAGCACTATCTGTACAAGAGTAGTTTATCTACCCAAGTGAGCTGTTTGCAAATATCATAGCATAATTACATAGAATACACAGTGCATTTAAAGAGCAGACAAATAAACAGAAGGCTATGGGCAGCATTGGGGAACTTTATTCAAATGCATGTGGACTCTGAACTATTATTAAGCAGTATTTATCTAATTTTACTACTATTATTTCCAACTTCTAGATTGAAATGAATTAACTAATGACTTAAAACAAGAATACCTAGTTATATAACAAACATACAGGGATGGAGTAGTTCCCATAGAAGATTATAACTTCAATTATAACTTCAAGTATCAAAGTTCAGAGTTTTTTATGACCTTTCCACTATTTCAAAACTAATTTTTAAAAGAAATCACTTGCATCCAGTGGTATATTCAACAGAGCACATCCTGTTTCTTCTGAAGCAGTTTTTTGGATTCCAGTGAGGAATCTATCTTTTTCAGCATAATATGTTCAATTCTAGATTCCCCTCCTAAAAAGACCTCCAACTGAGCATATGCAATCCTTACTATGTGGTTTTTAACTCACCATTACCAAATTCTGAAAAAGGACGTTGGTCTTACCTGACACGTCTCTTCTCAGTGCGCTGCGAGAGAATATGGGTTTTCCTGCATATCTTCTTAAACTATTACCTCGTGTGTATATGGTGCTCTTTTGGATACATAGATACATAAACATCTTCACACAAAGAAGTCATTAATATATATGATAGTCTGTGCAGTATTATATGAACCTACATTCTAGAATGTAAGCTTTTCTATTCCAGGTTGTGAACATTTTGAAGTCTGAATAAAGTCTTCAATAAAGAATAAAGTCTATCATACTTATAAAATATAATTATCTTAGTATACTACTAAGCATCCAGAATGACATCCCTGAAAAAAATACCAAGTGAGTCCCCCCCCCCAATTTCTTTTTAACTGTACTGATAAGGTTATAAAATGAAGATAAACCACCAAAGTAAAATAGAACAACAAAGCATTTGAGTACATGGTACAACCCTCCCCAATCATCTATTTTTCCAGGTACATGCTGCAGGTCATGACACAAATTATGTATGATCATGTAATTTTTTTATTTAAAAGCTTTTATAAAAAATCAAGAGTAAACAGTCTGTGGCATCCAGGTAGGAGTACACTGGTGTCTGTAGGAACAACCTTACTTAATTCTGTTGTACTTGCAAAGATTTTGTACACAACCTTTCATACAAATTAAAAAATTTTCAGCCAATGAAATAATGGCTCTGAAAATTTAAATTATGTGAGCATTACTGTATCAGGCTTAAGTGCCAATGAAACTGCTGGGTTAAAAGGAGGGGAGATTTCTGGATAGCAGGGATAAGGGTGATGTTCCTCCTTTTATATGACTACATGCTGTATTTTTCGGAGTATAAGATGCACCTTTCCCCCCCCCTAAAAGGGGGTGAAAATTTGCGTTTTATACACCGAATGTAGCCTGCCCACCCACTGGCCCCCACCCTTTGGCCTCTGCCTCCCAGCAATTTACCTCCTTGCAGCAATCAGCAAGAAGAAACAGCCCATTTCAGCTTCAGCACAGCCTAATTAGCACAAGTTGATTGTCCCTTGGATCGGCCCCCTGACTCTCAGCTGTTTTTAGGCTGCAGGGATTGCCATTGCCTATTGCTGCAAGAAGGTAAATTGCTGGGAGAAGATTTTTTTTCCTTGTGCTAATCAAGCTATGCTGAAAATGAAAATGAAAGTAAAGCAAGCTATTTGCTGTAAGGAGGCAAGATTGCTGGGAGGCAGAGACAGATTTCTTTTTCTAGTTTTCCTCACCAAAAAAGGTAGGTGCGTCTTATAGTCCGGAGCGTCTTATACTCCGAAGAATATACTCATTAATTTACTCATGCCTTTCAAAAATAAACCAAACTTCTACAACATATCAAACATAAACAACCACATTGATTAATGTTCAAGTAACTAATTACCTGATAATTTCATGAGAAGTTCAGATGCTGCTTTGACTGACATATCCTGTTGCAGTAAATTTGCTGGCACTTCTTGTGGTTTGGGATTCTCCTTAGGAATACTTGGGGCAGATACTTCAGGTTCATGACTAAAACCATAACTGGTTTTAGACAATGTGGAGCTTGCACTGTCCTCATCTTTCGGTTCTTCTTTCACTTTAAATGTAGGTGTCAAGGGTTCTTTTTGATTTGCAGCTATTAGAAAAGAGGGGGGGGGGAACAGTGAAAGGAAATGCATGAATACAAAATCAGTTCACAAGAGAAAGCTATTATCAGTTCACAAGAGAAAGCATGGGCAACCACTGGGGAAATCGTATGCCATGAAATCAAGTTGAGGGGTCCCAAAATTTGATATATTTCTCCAATATTTTTCTTTTCTTTTTTCTTTTAAAAATATCTTCATTAAATTAAAAAAAAAATTAAAATACGTATTTTTCCTAGTATTCCTTTCTTTGTCTAACTCGCATAAACTAATCACATGGCTTTGGTTCCTGTGGCAAACTATGTTAAGAGATAATTTGCTAGGCTTGAGGGCAACAAAGAAAACAAGAAAATATGTGATTTCAAATAACCTTCTCAGATGTAAAATCCTAGACTTTCGAGCTTTGAACTGACCCGTTATAAAATGCAATGGAAAGTTATCAATATTATTCTGCATAATGAATTTGTTGTTTAAGTTGCCTTATAATATTATATAATTTTATATATACATTGTGTTTTAAATTTATAGAGATTGTAATGTATCCTCTCTTATTTTTTCTTATTCCGTTAGAATTGTTTTAACTGTTTAAATGTTATAATGCTTCTAACAGCATTTGTTTTTATTGGAAATCTAGTTGATTAGTTGATGATTTGATATGTTATGAAGCACACTACAGAAGATTCTCTATTTGTTGGCTCTATTGTCCCGTCCTTGACTATACTGCCTCTACTTATAACCACAGTTGGAACTTCCATTGCTAAGCACAACAGTTGTTATTGCACCCAATTTTACAACTTTTCTTGCTGCAGTTGTTAAACAAACCAGCACAGTTGATAAATGAATCATGTGGACAATTAAGCAAATCTAGAATTCCCTCATTGAATTTCCTTGCCAGAAGTTGACTGGGTAAGGTCATAAATGGTGATCATGTGACATACACACCCCCAAATGCTAAAACCATCATAAATACATGCTGGTTGCCAAATACCTGGACTTTGATTGTGGATGGAAATGCTGCAATGGTCATAAATATGAAAATTCGTCATAAGTCACTTTTTCAGTTCTGTGAAAACTTTGAACAGTTGCTAAAAAATTATTATTAGTCGAAGACTTCCTGTATAGTCCTTCCTTTCCAAGCAATGACCTGAATCTAAGGCAATTCTCTATCATATATAGAGTTAGAAAAAGCTGCTCTAGAACCTGATAATGGTTCATTACCATGAAATTCATCCAATTTACAACTTTAAGAGCTTCTTATATATAGCTCCAAATTAGCTAGCTAACTATACCCTGAACAGGGGCTACAGGGTCATAAAAAAGGAGTGAGTGAGTGAGTATGTATGTATGCATATGTATATCTATGTGTGTACATGTATTAGTTTTTTCTGAGTGCTTGGAACTTTTATACTGAAGATCCCCAATACTAACCACAGTAAATCCATATAAATAAAATAAAATAGAGCTCCATACAGGTTATTCCTACACAAAGATAGCACACTGAAATAATTTGCCAATTTTTCTTGTCATCCATTCCTGACATTCTTACAAAAATAATAAAAAGCCTTTCTACTCTTTTGTCCAGTAGAACAAAAGTAACACTTGTGCTGATTGATAGCAATAAATATATCTTAGATGTTATAGCTGAAATATTTTAAAAGGCATTTATGACCATCTCATTCAACACATCTTTATTTCATAAATTAAAAGAGAGGTGTCCAGCTCACAAGAATCTTCAATATTAGTACTCAAGCTCAATCAAGTTAGCTTTATTACCATACGCACAGAGATAACAGATTGATGATTTTCACCTTCCAATACTTGAATACAGATTTAATAGACATTTATAGAAGAAAAAAAAAAACAGTATTTCAACATCTGGTGTTTTATAAAGTTATGAACCTTACAGGATGGCTATGCCTGAAATTGCCTTCAGAGTCCCAATTACTCACAAAACTGACAGAAGACATACATCCTTTGGGACAAGAACTATCAATGACCCATTCGTGGATTCCTCAAGCAACGCTTTTAGCAAATCTAAACAGACTGTCCCAATCTGACTTGGCCGTGGCATTTTTTTTCTCTTTCATTTCTTTAATTGCCCTTGCCATTTTGCTCATTTGCAGAGCAGACTGCAGTGCATTGATCTGGGCCAAAGCAACTACTTTTCTGTAAAAAGCTGACAGAGAACTATCCCCAGAGTCTTTCTCCTAACTCATATTTTTGTTTGTTCATTTTATAATAAATGGAAATGTTTCCTTTAAAACATTGCTAGTAAATCTCTTAAGTCCACTAAATAAAACATTGTTTTGTGGAAGGGATCTGTTTAAGTATTGCCACGTTGGTTCAATGCATAATTCCATAAGTTATTTTAGATGCACATTGTTCTGATCAATGGTTTTAATTTCTTCCTTAACATAACATCTCTCCCTTGTGTGGCATTGACACATCTACCAAGTTTAGATTTTCATCTAAGAGATGTATCTCACTCCTTCAGTGACTTTATAACATGTTGCTAGGTAACAGTGCACACAAGTCAAGTTTGAGGACCTTTTTGTTAAAGACACTACAAAATAAATGCTTCTGTCCTTTTTGCATGAAAGATCTCATCTGGGTCCTTAGTATTTCTGTTTGCTAAACACTATAGAACTGCTTATCAATTTCTGAATTAAAAAACAGGCATCAAAAGAGAAGATATATTCAGTTTTCGGTCCCTCTTTTTCTCTCTCCCTAACAAAACTTAGTTTTGCATCTATTTCAAGTTGTACTATTCATTTAATTCATATAAGGCATAACCTAATATCATATATTTAATTTATGACATGAACTTAAAACAATCTAAAATATTGGGTTAGTATAACAAAGAAGGTAAAAATTGATTATATAAGCCGGCTTTAAAAAAGATCAACATCTTAAGAGAAATCATTTCCCTTTCTTTCAAATCAGTATGTTTTAACAAGGAAAATATCAACATGTTTCTAATTGTCCCTAATATAGTTTTTCTCTAAGTATATTTCACTATGAAATTTACTTTTTGCAGGCTTTTTATAAAACTGTACCTCGAAAAAGCTAGAAAAGAATATTTCATTAATTCCATCATTTTCATGTTTCTCAGAACTGCATTCATTCGGTTTCTTTTATTCTTGGTTTTTCTTTCCACCCTTCCATCCCATATTTATTCCACCCTGGAGTAAAAGGATTAAGAGCATATTGAAAGACTGAACCAAATTCCTATGTGATCACCGCTACCTTGTGTACTTGGCAGTTACTGGGGAAAGGGCCTTCCCAGAATGCTGAGAATGCTTTCACTACAAAGGTTAGCAAAGCACCTACTCAGGTGTCATTTTTCAAATGTCAGGCAAATAGTTTTGCAAGTTCTTACATCCTGTAAATCAGTTTAAGCTGTTTCATTTTGCCAGTTGTTTCTATTATACATTTTCTGTTTTGCATTTTTGAAGTGCTTTAAACCACCCAAAGCATTTTAAATGATCAGATTATGAATACAGAACAGAACAATCTCAACAAGGCAAGGAAGAAATCATTGGCCTCTTCGGCCAAGCAAATGGGAGAAGGCTGTTCACATTGAAGGAGCTGAAGACTGCAGTTACCTACATTTAGCAGTAGCACATTTTAAAAAATGCTCTGATTCAAAAGGTAGAAACTATCCACTGTTTCATTTCCAGAGCACTATTAAAGAGCAGCCTAAGTCTAAGTAACCAGCATGATTAGACATTGTCTGAACCCAGTTGAAATTGTACTATTGTACATCATAACTGCAGTAATTTCTGCAACAAGATTCATTGGGAGATTATGAAATAGGTTTTTTTTAGAGTTGCTTCAAACTGGACAAGTCTATGCTCCCATTGTAATATGCCCTTTCACATATAAAAAATTAGGAGTAGATAAAAGTCAATTAAAGCTTACTCAACCAGTTTCAGAAGTGAATTAGTTCAACTTTCAATGCAGAGGAGCCAGCGCAACAAAAATGTTGCAGAGTTTTCTTTGGAACTGCAGGGTAAAGTAGTTCCCCATGGTAGGAACTTTTGTTTTATCCTGTTTCTAAGTTATCCCCTTTTCAAAAGCCAAGATATCATGGCGTCTTGACTTCTTCCTATCCTCCTCTGCCAGAGGAATAATTTTGCTACAATTTTCTTTTTTTAAAAAAATTGAAAATGGGGAGAGTCAGCTGAGATTCATTGTCAAAAAATAGGATAGGGACACAAGAACACTCATCACTTCAGGGGATGACCAGTGAACACAGCGAGGTTCATTTCTGAATCACCAAATATTTGAAGTGTTTAATAAAACAATGTTCATGCATTCCTATAAGAAACTGCCCTCCTTGTTCTTCTTGGAGTAATATTGAGATTTAAATTTAGCTATTCTTGAATTTTGTACTTCTTTAAATGTTATGATAAAATTCTTGGTGATATAAGCTTAAGTGCTTTTAGATGTAACCCACAGTGTAGAGAACCTTTTGGGCACAAAGTGTCCACCACAGTGCACAGCTACCAAAACGTAAAGACAAAAGTCGATGCAGAAAGTTGTAAAATTGTATATATCTGTTATTAGTATTGTATTTTAACGTCTGATGTGCGTGTGTTTTTGTTTTTTGTTTTTGTCTCCTGACTTCTTTTGCTATTGTATGTTTGGTTTTAAAATGTAAAATACTCAATAAAAAATATTTTAAAAAAAACACAAAACAAAATAGTTTTTAGTTGATAGGATCAGTTGTAGACATCCATTTGCCAAACAACGAACTATACTCCTAAGAAACTCTCTCCTAGTGCTGTGGGACACTGGTGGCATCCAAAGGCAATCCTGAAAATAATTATGTATGCATAATGCATAGTTTCATTATGCATTTAAATGCATTATTTTGAGAGAAAACAGCATTTAAGACATGGATGTCCAACATTTTGGCTTACCTGGGTCACACTGAATGAAGAGTAACTTTTTTGGGCTGCATATAAAATACATAATATAGTTTTTTACTATAAAATCATACAATAACATTAACAGTTTGTGGGGCCGCATTACTAGCTGCCTAAGCTGCACAAGGCCCCCAGACCACTGGTTAAGATGCATGGAAATATATTTTAATATCTTGAAGAGGCTATTATTTTCATGGTATAAAAAAAGGCATAAGAAAATGGCCCAACCTAAAGAGAAAAAAGTTTGGTTTATCCTTACCTGAAAGCTTCATGAGAAAATCTGAAGCCATCTTGACTGATATATCCTGACTGAAAAGTGCTGATGCTGTATTGGTCACAAAGTCAATGGAGTCTTTTAGCTTTGTACTGTTGGCAATTCTATCAACAACGTTGAGGGCTAAAGAGGGGCTAGGGGCACTGCTGTCATCTTTGGGTTCTTCTTTGACTAGCAGAGGTGGGATGGTAGTTCCGACCTGCCCAAGTACATCAGGAGATCTAGAGGCAGCAGTAGTCCCTACATGGTCTGTTCCTCCATCTACCTCCTGACCCATTCTGGAGTTGTCACTCAGTAGTGGTGAGACCTTGACATCCATTTCTGGAATCTCTTCCTTCACTTTGGCTTCTGTCCTCAGAAAGTGTTGGTGGCAACGCATGTGGAGTTTCAGACTGAAATGGCGAGAGGAAGTAAATGGACACAGCTGGCACTGAAATGTCTCTCCCCGGTCCTGGTGTTGGTGAACCTAATTCAGTAATAACAACAACAGGGATAATAGCATATTTCTCAAATAAATACAATCCCTTGTTAAAATCATAGAGATCTGCAAATGAATTGTATAGATAGAATCTTATAAGGACTGCGAGAAGGTAGAAAAAGAGTCAGTAGAAGAGATGCATATTCAGTAAACTGACATTCTGTATATTCTGTATTACAATTCTCATAAGATTCAATTGACAAAGTCATTGATAAGAGATTATGGGAGTTATCATCTAAGATACATATATAGGGCATCAGGCTAGTTACCACTTACTAATTTATCATCTCCCTTCCTGTCCTGATTTTTCTTTCTTATAATGTTCTGTACATTTCATTTGAGGATCTCAATGATTTTAACAGAGAAGGTCAGCATACAGAGCTCAAAGTGGCTGTCCTTCTATATATAAGAATTTAATGATGAATATTTGTCTATATGAACATTTGTCCAAGAGTCACTGAATAAAAATCATCAAATTATTAACCACTGGGCTACAAAGCTCATTGATTCCCAAGTTACACCCAAAAACAAGTATTTCCTAGGTGTATATATACTTGTGTCCATGTACACACATACACACACATACATATCCATTTAAAGGCAAATTATTTGATGATTGCTCAAAATTAGCAAATATTTTTTCAAAGATAGTAGTAGTTAGATTATAACTTCATAGAGTTGGAAAGGCAATTTAGATACCAAGTCAACTTCTTTGCTCAATATAAACATTCACATTAGAACAGGCTTGAAAAACACCACTTTATAATGCCTCGGTAAGGCCACACTTGGAATATTGCATTCAGTTTTGGTCGCCACAATGTAAAAAAGATGTTGAGACTCTAGAAAGAGTGCAGAGAAGAGCAACAAAGATGATTAGAGGACTGGAGGCTAAAACATACAAAGAACGGTTGCAGGAACTGGGTATGTCTAGTTTAATGAAGAGAAGGACTAGGGGAGACATGATAGCAGTGTTCCAATATCTCAGGGGTTGCCACAAAGAAGAGGGAGTCAAACTATTCTCCAAAGCACCTGAGGGTAGAACAAGAAGCAATGGGTGGAAACTAATCAAGGAGAGAAGCAGTTTAGAACTAAGGCGAAATTTCCTGACAGTTAGAACAATTAATAAGTGGAACAACTTGCCTACAGAAGTTGTGAATGCTCCAACACTGGAAACTTTTAAGAAGATGTTGGATAACCATTTGTCTGAAGTGCTGTAGGGTTTCCTGCCTGAGCAGGGGGCTGGACTAGAAGACCTCCAAGATCCCTTCCAACTCTGTTATTCTATTCTATTCTATTCTATTCTATTCTATTCTATTCTATTCTATCTATTCTATTCTATTCTATTCTATTCTATTCTATTCTATTCTATTATTTTCTATTTCTATTTCTATTTCTATTCTATCCTCTGCTTGAACAAATCCAACAAAGTGAAATCCAATATCTCTCAATTCTTCTGGTCGATAAAATGAATTTATAACAATCACATTATTAAAAATATACTGCCTTTCATTACGAGTTCCTTTAAAATCCCCAACAATAATTTTAGATTTCTTAAATGCCAGAATTTATCAGCCTTACCTTCATATGTGACTTCAAATTGTCTTTTCGTGCACAACGAAATGGACACAAAGGACACTGATGACTTTTTAAGCCTGTATGGATTACCATGTGCCGTTTCCAGTAGCTCTTCCTTTTTATAACCAAGCCGCAGATTGGACATTGGAAAGGTTTCCCACTTTCTTCTTCTGAGGCTTAGAAAAAAGAAAAGAAAGGAAGAAATTTATCATGAATTTATTTCCATTTTACAGTTTTTCAACTTTATGAAAAACTGAGTATTTTTTTATCTTTATCTTTGGATACAGAACTTCGAAGACACAACTTTATACATATTATAATATTTTAAATCTTATTAAATGCAGTGGACCATTAATCCCCATTTTTCTGACATGGAAATCAAATGGTCCAAAAAAACCCCTCTAACCCAATACTAAACGATACAGGAGAGGGCCCAATCATATTCTGGACAACCAGCAGAGGATGCTACTGTTCTTTACCTAGTCTTATAATTCACAGCTAATTTGTCAGGTCTTGATCTATGTAACATTACAAAAGTGCCTTTTTTCACTTTAGTATTTGCAACACACCAAGAAACAATCAAACATTATTAGGTACCCCTAAATCTGACTTAAAAGCAGAGTTAAGACGGTGATATATTCCACACCTAGTATTGAGAGATTCCAAAATCACTCTTGATGACTGGTTTCATTTTGAAAAATCTAAGACTTCAATTTCACTTCAGACAAAGGTATTTGTTAGTTTTTGTTCAACTGTTTTGTCACTACAGTAATGATACAAAAATTAATTTGACCAACGCAACACAGCCCAAAAAGCTGCTCTCTTTACGTGTAGATAAATATAAATAATTTATTTTAGAGTAACTTAAGCAAATTAAATTTAGCCTCTCTAACTAAAGGGGAATATATAAATTGCTGCTTCTTTTTCATGGACAAAGGTGGTAAAATCATCAAAGAAGATTTATATCACAAGAAATTTTCCTCCTCCTCTTTGTTAGTCTATTGAAAATCTAGAATAGAATCCTGCAAGTTGCCTCTTATCTAGTAGGACAGAAGATTCACTTTACCCAAATTAAGAATTCATTTTTACATTTTAATGTAATGAAGTCTCATCCAACACTAGTTTCTACAACAATGCTCACAGTGTCAAACTTAACCTAGAACGGTATTCTATGTACTTCCTGCATAACTTAAAAGTAAAGTTCTTTGAAGATATTCCAATAAAACTAAAATTGAAAGTGTTTCTCTCTCTAGTTTATTACAAAGCAAAACTGGAAATTTTAACTTTTTTATCTCACATACAAAGGCAAAAGAAAACCATGACATGCCTTTTCTTTTAGCCTAGGTAAAATTGTGATTTTCACCAATATTATGCCCAGGGCCGGATTTTCCTATAAGCTAACTAGGCTTCAGCCTAGGGCCTCAAGATCAAGAGGGGGCCTCAAGATCAAGAGGGGCCTACATTCAAATTGTTAGCAAAATTAAAATTACACTTTCACTATAGGTGAAAGGGCCTCATAAGTGGAATAGCCTAGGGCCTCTTTTCATCTAAATCCGGCCCTGATTATGCCCAATACATCACAAATGGGCTGAATTAATTAGTGTATAATACTAATCTAGATGGTGGTATAAGCAAGAGAAGCCATAACATCTAACTGCTTATATTTAACTGTAAACCACAATGTAATCCGTTTCTGACTTAGCACATGTGAACCTACCTGTTATGGAACAGTAATGAGAATGTTGATATATAATATTGATCTCTAACAAAATCATAATGAAAACATCAAATTCACATGGAACGTTCAGCACTCTTTCTCTGAGTTGTTATAAAATTTGCTGTGTGAATTTGCTGTAAGATTTTGCCACGTCACAGAGGGATTTTATGCCATTGTGTAATATTGTAGCATAGTATCTGGGGCCAGAAAGAGTTGATTTTTGCATCAATTAACCATTTAATTGGGCACATTCGAATTACATGAACCAAAATAAAAAACAGAAGAAAAAATTTCCAAACTCTTTGTTTCAACAGGTTGATTTGTATATTATTATGATAATTTATTTCTAATTCTATTTCTACAAATAGAACCTATCTATTAAATTTTGCTTTTATATATGAGGCTATTAGATACTGTTGCTGCAAATGTTATCCAGGCAAGGGATAGTTTTGGAACTAGATGAAAAAGCGTAATAACTTTATGAGATAATCATCAGGTTAAGTCTTGGCATCTAAAGAGATGTGAGGATTCTGCCCACTACATTGACATAATTAACCATCTGACATTACACTGCACATTTCTAGTTCTGTTATGTTTAAGTTTACAATGTTACTGTAGCAACAGAAAATATTTCTGTGGCTGCTGAAAAGATATCTGATTATTTTCAAATTTGCCAAAATAAGTGGCATACTCTCAGAACATTAAAATCCAATGCCTAATGCATTCATCAGCTGTTGGTCTTATTTGAAAAACTGAAATGTTACTAGTTGTAGTGTTTTGGAAGCAATAGCACTTAGATTTATATACTGCTTCACAGTGCTTTACAGCCCTCTGAGCAGTTTACAGTGACAGCATATTGCCCCCAACAATCTGGGTCCTCATGTTACCAACCTTAGAAGGATGCAAGGCTGAGTCAATCTTCAGCCGGTGAGGTTTGAACTGCCAAATTGCTGGCAGCCGGCAGTCAGCAGAAGTAGCCTGCAGTACTGCATTCTAACCACTGAGTCACTACGGCTCAAGTGATTAAAGCTGCATGTTCTCGTAATTTCCTGTATGTACTACTCTATAAAGAATGCCAGTATGATGTAGCAATAGCAATAGCACTTAAACCTATGTGCTCTATCTCCCCATAGTGCTTTACAGCACTTTCTGGGTGGTTCAGAACAACAGTATATTGTTCCCAATAATCTGTGTTCTCATTTTACTTAACTTTTATTTAAATTTAAGTACTTTAATTTTTTTTTTTATGATCAGAGTAGTAAATAGTAAAATCTGGCTTAGCATCCCAATATATTACCCATCCATAGACATCTGCTGCTGCTGCAAAAAAAAATGTCGCTAAAAGGATGCCATGACACAAATTCCATCCTTAGGTACTTGCAGCTAGACATCTTTTGCATCAGAGTATCATAATGTACATTTCATTGTTGCACTCCTTCGTGGACACCTATATGCACATTCATTCACTTTAAATGTTGAAATATTCCCTTTTTCCCCAGGAGGTCAAGACAGCACATATGGGGTTTCCTTCTGCATTTATTCCAACACAAACCTATAAGGCAGACTGAGCGAAAACAGAATGATTATTCCAAAGAGAAGTAGTTACCTCATGTTGAAAGGAAACCTTAAGCTGAACTCTAATTGCAGGGAACATCTATTAAAAGCATGGGTTTGTAGTTGGAGGTCACTCTCTATTTTCTGCTCATTAAAGATCATGGATATATGTGTCTTTTTTCCAGAACTATGTTGTTTATGTATATTTGGAGGCCCAAAGATTCTCTGGGATTTACTACTCAGTAAATTAATTTAAAGAAGCAGAGTTAATACATTTAGGTATTTGATTTTAAATGCTCACTTTGGAAAGTGAGTACAGATAATTGTTGACTTATGACCATATTTGAGTCCACAATTTCTGCTGCTAAGCAAGGCAGTTGTTAAGTGAGTTTTGCCCCATTTTATTATCTTTCTTACCACAGTGAATCACTGCAGCTGTTAAATTAGTAGCACAGATGTTAAGTGAATCTGGTTTCCCCATTCACTTTGATTGTCAGAAGGTCACAAAAGTGATCACAGGACCCTGGGACAGTGTAACCATCATAAATATGAGCTGCCAAATGTCTGAATTTTGATCATGTGACCACAGGGATGCTGTGGTGAAAATGGGTGAAAATGGTCATTAGTCACTTTTTTCAGTGCTGTTGTAACTTTGAACAATCACTAAATGAATGGCTATAAGTCAAGGACTACCTATATCAAGTGATAGTAAGCCAATTAATTAGTAAGCAGAAGCGGGAAATTCCTTCTCCTAAAGGAAATACATTCAAAGACTGAGTTCTTCATAGGAAATGTTATATATCCTAAACAACCATATTGTGTTTGTTAATGGAAGGTTTCCATTTAATTACTAGTGAAAATGGCCAAAAGCTATTCACTCAAAAACATTGTGCCATCAATGTTATGTTCAACTATGTGCAAAAATCTGCAATATTCAAACTTCTTCACTCAACTCATCAGAAAGAGCGGGAAAAGTTTATGTTTTACATTTCAGAATTGAGCCTGTTGTAGTATCTATAATTCTGTAACCCTGAACTTATTTAACTGATATTAAAGTAGAACCTGCAGATAAAAATGATATTTTTCAAAGCAGTGTCTCAACAGGATACGCACAACAGAAATCTTTCAAAATCAGAATGTATTCCTTATTTTGATATTCACAGAAGTGATATTTTCATTCATTCAGGTCATAATTGTCCCGAAGGTGCTTTTTCCAAAGGGCAACTGGACTTTATTTTTTTCTTTGAAAACATTTCGCTTCTCATCCAAGAAGCTGAGAAACTGTAACTATAACTGTATAGCTAAGAAACTGCAACCACATCTTATGGCTATAAACCAGAAATACAAAACAAATAATATGAGAATCAACAAAGAGAAAACAGAAAAAATGGCAATCAGAAGAAAAAAGCATACCTTAAACATAGCAATAAAGGGAACAAGCATAAAACGAATATCAAAGTTAAAATATCTAGGAACATTCACCAAAGTTAGTAAAACGGAAGAAGAAATTAGCATATGATGCAGTAAGGCAAACCACATATTGTGACAGTTTATCCACTCCTACGACATAAGGTAGTTCAACGTAAGATCAGTACAAAGAAGTGTCTCATATAAAGCATATCATCTCCACCCTATGATACAAGTGCCAAACATGGACACTTACAATAAAACATAAACAAAAGTTAAGTCACCAGGGAAATTAGATGTTTGAAGAAAGTTGCTGGAGTGACCAGAAGAGATAATATTAGAAATGAGATCATAAGAGAAAGAATTGGCATAGAACCAATCTTAAACCACATATACAAACAGTAAATAAAGTGGTTTATCCACCTGGAGAAGATGTCTTGGGATTCCATACTGTACAAGGCATATAAAAAGTGAAGGTCAAACAATAGAAGGCAGACC